CCCCAAAACCCCAAAACCCCAAAACCCCAAAACCCCAAAACCCCTTAAAAATATCAATCATTGAATATTATTAATCAAATTGCTTATTTGCTCCTCTGTCGATATGAATATGATCCATATTGTTATATGGACCGGTAAATGAATTGTTTAGAGGCTTTCCTTTTCCATACCCTCCACCTACGAATAAGTTGTATTTCTCTTTAGCTGGTTTGATTAAAGTATCTGCGTCTGGATCTAAATCAAAAGAGTTGTCTCTTGGAATATAATGCTCATCATCATCTGTTTCTGTTCCATCATATCCTAGCGTTATTGAGTCTTCATCATCATGGACTGGCTCAGCATCAATATCAGAGAATGTTAAATCCTCAATATCTGCTGCATTATTTTTCAAAATTACTTTCTGCAAGCTCAGACATGTTCTCAGATCGGATCTTTTTGCTAAGGATCTCAGGCTCCATACTTCCTTCTCTGAGTATGACCTCTAACTCTCTTTTAATTTTCTCTGCTTCTTCTTTTTTCTTAATTTCCTCCATCATTTTCTCATATTCTTGTGCTTCCATTTTAAATTCGTCGTTTCTTGGCATCTTAAGCCATGGATGCTCTAGCATTTCTTGAGCAGTTGCCCTCTTTTCTGGGTACCAAGCAAGCATGCACTGGAGAAAATCTGCTAGCGCGTCTGCTTCCTTTGGAACAAATCTATATTTCTCTGTTAGGACTCTCTGAAGTGGCCAGTAATTGAGTCCTCTGATTTTTCTCAAATGCCCTGTTGAATCAAAGAATCTCTTAGAATTCTTTCCGGATAGAGCAAAGTTCTTAGGCATTCTTCCCAAGAGTTCTATCATTTGAGCCAGATGGTCATCATCTTGATCATAATAGTAACCCTTTCTAGGTTCAAATAGAAAGTCTCCAGTGAGGAGCTCAAAAACCATGCAGGCAAGACTCCAAATGTCTGCACTTGGGCCATAAGGTACCCCAATTATAGTCTCTGGAGATCTGTATTGTCTAGTTTGAATCTGAGATGTGAAATGATGATGGGTCCAGCATCCATTTCCCATATCTACAATGGCAAGGTTTACATCTTCATCTATTTTAGGTCCTCTTTTAGTTAGCTTATCTTTTGTCTTCTGGTCATCTTTGATGAGATGAGTATTCAGCTTTGGAATGTTTAGATGAGAAGGAGCATCATCCATTCCTTCTCCCATTAACTGCTGAAGTTTTTCTAATTCTTTCAAGTCTCCTTCATCAAGATCGTCCCCGTTGTTCCTTGGGGCTGAGGAATGCCTAAATGCCTTTGCCTTTTTCTTTGAACTCTTTTTCTTAACTGAATCATTCTTTTCATCTTGAGGTTGCTTTATTTCAGGTTTCTCTTCCTCAGCTTCCTTACTTGCTGGTTCATTTTTTTCAGTTTTAGTCATGCCTGTTGTTTCCAATTGAGATATTTCAATATCTTTCGAATCAATTTCGATTTCGGTTTCTTTTTCTTTATGGTCATGCTCTTTATTTAGCTTCCAAGTTAGCTTCTCTTTTAAGATTTTCTTGTTCTATCTGGCTTCGTACCTCAGCATAGAGTGCTTCTTTTTGTTCCTTTTCTAGGTCATCATAGTTTTCAGGCAGTTTTCCCTGAGTAATGTATTTCTTGATTCTTTTTCTCTTATTTTTCCTATAGTTCTTCTTCTCTTTGGCAGTCATTTCATTCCAGTCTTTGGAGTGAGCATCAGTGATAGAGATTGAATCTTTGTGCACTGCCTTGGTTTCTTCCTTTTCAGCTCTGGACGAAAGAATGATGTTATCATGAGCTCCAGCAACTATTCTAGCAATTTGATCCTCATCTTGGTGATACATCTTGGTAGTTTTTAGAACTCCTTTCTCTTTGATTCCTTTCAACTCATTTTTAGTCAATGTAATGACAACATTCTCAGGCTTTAAATCTGTATGGATTAGTTTGCAGATTCTGCTCATATAATCCAGGCCAACTAAGCACTGTTTAGTAAGCTCTCTGACTAGATGAAGAGGAACTCCTTTATAGTCATATCTCTTAATGATCTCCAGAAGATTTACACCTAAAATTTCAAAAACCATAACATAGTGTGTTCCGTTTGGCCCATGATGGAGGAAGGCATTCAGAAGCTGAACTGTGTGACAGTACTTGCTTGAATTTTCAATCTCTTTGAGCTTCTTCGGATCATCTTTGTAATAATGTTTGAGAGATTCTTGCCATTCCTTCTTACGCCAGAAAGAACTCACTTGATCCAATATCTGAACTTCATCATATGCCGCTTCAATGTAATGTTGAGCTGATTTTTGTACCTTCAGTGCTACGTATGTGTTATACTTTTTGTCTTTAGCAAGCCAAACTGTTGAGAAATGTCCCCAACCAAGTTTTTGAATAACAACATATCTTTCCTTAAAGACTTCTCCAACATGCACTGGGTGATAGCCTCCAATTTTGTAATCTGGAAGTCCTTCATCCTCACTTGAGTCAGAATCTTCGTAAAAGCTTTCACCTAGCTCGTCTTTGAGGGGCTTGGCTTCCACTATATCCTACTATCTTTTTCATGGCCTTTATGATCATCTCCTTTCTTATGATGTCTGTCTTCAGCTTCATGTCTTAATTGATTTCCACTAGCACGAACATTTTCACGATACTCATTTCTTTTATTTTCTTGAGCTTTCTTGGTATTAGGTGTAGTCTCTCCATTATTGGCATTTTCAAGCTTTTGATATATCATTTGTTGAAATTCCTGGATTTTCTCCTCTTCCAAAGCTTTGTCTGTATCTTTACTCATACTATTCTTTATTTTCTACAATATGTTATAACGATGTTATACTAAAACCAAGAGACAACAAGGGGAGCCCATTTGATGCCAAGTTTTAAGAATTAGAGTTCTACACTCTTCAGATAGAAGTAAGACTTTAACTTACTTTGTGCTTTCCTGTGTCACTCATTTTTAATTTAAGTAGTTTTCAAAAAATTTAAACAGCCCAGGGGTTTTGGGGTTTTGGGGTTTTGGGGTTTTGGGG